CAGTTCGTACTGGACGAGCCGCCTTCTAATGATAGAATTCATGTTGAGGTTGTGAGTACTTCTAAACGTATGGGTTTACGGCAACCTAAGGTATGACAAAATTGATCGGGAGACTCTCAAAAATAAAAAAATAATAAAACATTAATGTTGTTTTTCAATAGTACAGTTGCTCACCTGAACATTAAATCGGTTTTCGTCCTTGTTTCGGTTACTTCTTTGTTAGGAAAATCTTGGTTATGTGGACATATACCTAGCGGATGTTGTCAACAACAAGCGGATTAACGAGAGGTACCACCTTATCGACTCGAAGAACGGTAGGATTCAGATTGAGCTGCAATGGAGAAGTGCAGCTTGAAGGGCATGGGAGAATTTATGGGGTAATTAAGAAGACATGTTTTGTAAGAAAATAAATCTGGACATCGTTACTATTTACAGAGACTGCCTCTATGGTTTATAGCCTAATTGGATAGGAGATGAATTGGAGATTTACCAATATCCCTTGAATGACTGTCAGAAAGGATACACAAGTTGTACTGTTAGCAATTTTCTCCACCAGTTACTCATTATCTAGCCAAAAGTTTCACATTGCATAATTAACTGATTACACAACCATCACAATTAACTAAAAATAGCTAACTGTGCACTAGTAGAAAAAACAGTTTTTATAATGGGTAAAAAAAACTTTTTATAACAGTTTTTAGTATGTTGTAGTTTCAAATGTTATAGAAAATATGGACTTTCTATGACGGTTGTGACCCGTTAAAAAATCACTGCCATTTATAACGGGTTAACAAAGACCCGTTATAAATATCTCATTCACCTGTTATAGACTACACTATTTTATAACAGTTCTTTATTCACCTGTTACAAAATATACTATATTCATAACGGATTTTCATTAACCCGTTATAAACATGATTTTGATTACACTATAATATATAACGGGTTACAAAATATCCGTTATAAAAACAGTGTATTTGTTAAAGGGAAAATAGTAGCCCGTTATAATTGTGAACCGACATTACGATGCACAATGTTTTAAATCGTATATAACATGTTATAAAAAAAAAGAAATATCAACAAAAAGTACCAAAATCAAATATTTACCATTACTTCAATGCCAACACACCAACAACATACTTCACCTTCACAAACACGACAATACCAAGTGACAAACAGTTTCACACCACATGTTCAACAAACTAAGAAGCGTGTCTAACAAAAGTCTAATCTTATCCTACTTCACTAATGAAGTTATATCGAGAAAATACTGAGTCCAACGTCTCCTTACATCATCAATATCATCACTCGAGAAGGGTTCTTCCAAATTAAACACCTAAAATTTGAAAAATAATAATTACAACATATTATCAAGACGAAAAGATAGAATAAATTATTTAGTTCAAAATATACTAGTGCTTGAATTTACAAATTATTTTTATTGAAACGGTTCCCAATGGAATAGGTAACAAAGCCACCTTACCTTGCCGCCCACTGCTACTAAATCACCACCGCCCTGAGATTCATCTACAGTGGAAGAATCCTCTTTGGGACTTGGCTCTAACAACAAAGAAGACACATGAGTTGAGGAACAGTCAAGGTACTCCTCAAGAATGCGATAGAAGGCAGAAAAAGGAATTACCTTATCAGTTGCTAGTGACGTCGAGAGTGATGATTTCCAACATATATCTCATAACGAAATACCCGCATTCAACATCTCCCGATTGTTGGCAACACTTGAAAAATATGAACAGAATCATATTAAATTAATAACCTACGAAAAATAAGATAAATGTAATGATTAAATTTTCCGCATGCATCCTTTGAAAAGCGCAGCAAAACATTCAAATGACAAGACAAATTAAAAGGATTCAAGTGTTTACGGAAAGTGAATTAAAAGATATAATCATATTGACGTATCTTTCAGTTTTATTCTTACTCATAACATCGGCAGAACAAAACACCGATTGTTACAAAGGATAAAATATGAATGTTAGAGAGAGAGAGAGAGAGAGAGAGAGAGAGAGATTTTCTGGTAGACCAGATATTATACACTCGACAGGTAACAAATGCTTAGATATTGACTAACCTCGTTATCTCTGAAAAACTTATTGCCATAAGACTTGAAGATTTCAGCCACTATTCTTCCACCAACAGCCTCCTCTATCATTTTTTCACTGAAATATTCGAAAGTAACATGATGTATAAGGACTAGCAATTCAGGATTTCAATTTTTTTGGATGATATAAAAACAACCAAATTACTGAAACTATAAGGGCTAGCAATTCTGCTCCTATAAGTAAGTGAGGTAAAACTTTTCATCTACCTAAGTTTTAAGTTTCTAAAGTTCTCGGTCCTATAAAATTTCATTTCTTGCATTCCAATCCTAAGAACTTGCCTTTATTAAAATTCAAACACCAAAACTTAATCTATATGTTGATTCAGTAAGCACCCACCAACAAGATATATACATCTATCATGCAAATATGGTTCAACCTCTTCCGATTTATTCTGCAACAACATTCAAGTACGAGTGGCGAGTCAATCAAAAACCTTACTTCACAGTTACACTTTGGATGGCCCAAAATTTTCTAGTACAACTACAAGATATACAAAGACAATGCACCTCTTTGGACACTACGAAAAGTTGAACTTTTTCACTGTAGACATTGCTTAAATGAAGAAAAAATGTCATAAGAACTTACCTTTATTACCTTCGATTCCTCGAAAATGGCTTGAAACCTGCCAGCCTCCAGCAAGGAAGCTTGAGAGAAGAAAAAACAAAAAAAAAAAGGATATAATTAGCTGATGAATTACTTTTTTACAATTAATTCACCAAAGTCTTCATTAAAATTTTAAAGTCTACGTGAGTAGATAAGTTCTAAGAAATGGTTTGAACATGCTAAACAATAATATAAATGAACAAGTCGACATCTTTATTAACCTCACCTGCGACAATTGCACATCGTTGCACCTGTGAACAACTAATCCAAAAAGGCTCCTATGCAGTGATGGATTGGAAAATGATTGAAACAAAAAAAAAAAAAAAAAAAAAAAAAAAAAAAAAAAAAACAAAAAAAAAAAGAAATAAAGAAAAAGAAAAAATCAAATTCTTCACTCTGCCATTTCACTTTGTTCCGATATGACTAACTAATGATGTAGATCAAATTTCCAACGTATTACAGTGCCATGGTATACTGCAATAAAATTAATTTCTTCTTAAAGCACCATCACATTAAGAAAACCATCCAATTAATTCCCATCACATATAATATATAGCATACACTTAAACAGAAAACCATCCCTATCACAAATATATGAACATTGGATACAAGGTAGCAGGAAAAGAATGGCTCTAAGTTCTAAAAGTAAAAATTATAGTGCATACCATTAGATTCTTTGGACCATCAGTTAACCATTGTCGACACACGACCTCTATTTCAGATATGAACCTAAAAACACATGAAACTAATATATTAATATCAAAAGAGCGTTCTCATCGACTGTGTAATTACATGTGTCATGTCAATGCCCCATTGAAATTTCATACCTTTCCCATGACGAGGCAAGAGTAACATCATCAAAATGCTCAAACTGCAAGAACATTTGCATAGAGGATAATAACAATAGGAAAAGTAAATTGTACACTTCAGAATAATTCAGAAAGCACCATCAAATTGTACACTTCAGATTAATTTCTTCTGAAAGCACCATCACATTGAGAAAACCATCAAATTAATTCCCACATATGATATATAGAATACACTTAAACAGAAAACCATCCCTAAAATTAATTTCTTCTGAAAGCACTATTACATTATCAAGAAACTAATTACAAAAGGTTGACATAATCAAAAGAAAATACAAAGGTTCAGAGTAAAGATAATCAAAAGAGCTACTGACTCAAGGGTTTACCTGAACTATTATCGGAACATGAGACCCTTAAAATTTTAGGTCCACGAAAACTGATGTCGACGGCTGTGGGGGACGAGCGGCGTACGAACAAGGCCTGTTACCAAGTCAACGCGACCACCAGACGACGAGCGCTCAGTGCAGCAGACGGAGAGGGCTACGGGGAACGAGCTGTTGTAAGTATTTTTACCGGAGTAGAATCAAGAGATTCGAACACCGGGTCGTATCACAAGGAAGGTCGGCCGGATTATTTTGCACGTATATTCAATCACACCAAAAGATAAAAGAAAGTCCTAAACACTCTAATTCGATTGGTTTGGTTTAATTTTGTCAACTACGAATTGAAAAGCAAGTAATTGGAAAAGCTAGACAAAACTAAGAATTTCAAGTTCACAACTTAATACTCAAATTCAATTTATGATAATGGAGCTAGGGTATCAGGGTCGATCAATTCTGGTTTTCAATACACTTAACGAGCAATCAAGAGCTCGGTTAAATGTCTCGCTAAACTACTCATCTAGAGATCTATCCTCAATAACTCTTCGTAACAAGAGGATAGACATTAACGAGTAATTCTTGAAACAATCAACACATAAGCAATACTATTACGAACAAGCTTATTCCTAACGAGCCTAGATCGAACGATTTCTCCCTTTTCAGTTTTAAAATCGATTAATTAGATTAAGATGGTGATCAAACATCAAAACCCTAGGGTAAGCACAACTCGAGAGGATTGAACAATTATCATGTATATAAACGAAATCAAACTGGAACGATCTTCCCCTAACCCTAGCTAAAGGATTTAGCTACTCATGATGCATTCAACATCAACAAACACAATAATCAAAGCCATTCAATCAATAAGAAAACGAAATGAAAGCTTATGATTAATGAATCTAATGTCGAGAACACGAATAAACCGAATCCAAAAGTTGAATCTCGGAGTTTTTCTCTCCAAGATCGAATACCAAGAGAAAGTTTTAGTTTTTGGGTGAAAAGTACTCAGAAAATCGAAACCTAGATCCAAAACTAATTATCCTGTTTCCAAAGAAATCTGCCACTTAAAAATTTTGAAATCGCGCGTTCCGCAGCCGCAGACAAGCTCGCGGGCCGCGGTGAAGGAATGGTTCGCGGCCGCGACTCGTCCCGCGGCCGCGACTTTTCGTCTCTGCCCACTGGTTTCAAATTCTCGACCTATCCGCGGCCGCGACTTCCTCCTCCGCGGCCGCGGTGAAGAAAACTGGGCGCGTTGTGTGATTTGTTCACCACCATCGCGGGCCTAGGTGAAGGATTTCTGTGACATGGTTGTGATTTTCTGGCTCGTATCCACGCATTTGGACTCGGAATTGGATTCCGTCTTTTCCTACTCGACCCCAACTCATCCATCTAGATAATTATCCTCGCATGGTCACATTCCAATCGAACTACCTATCCTGCACATCA